ACACACACACACACACACACACACACACACACACACACACACACACACATCTAGTCACTATATCAATCGTTTTCAAACAATATATTATAAAAATATATTATAAAAATTCGCAATCTAGTTGTTAATTGTTGCAGTTCGACTATTGACCAAAATTTACTGATTTCACCGTGAGAAAACAAGGCGGAGGGAAACGATGAAGATTTTTGGGACAACATTCACGCCGCTGGATGTTGTACAGCGATATTTGGAAACGCTTGTAACCACGGCGATTATCTGGTTTACATTACTTTTAATAATGATGGGGTATCCTCTCGCAATATATCTTTTCTTTTACTCCGAAATTATTCGCTACTGTGTGCTGATCTACTTCATCTGGATATACTACGATAATTATTTGTACCCTGTCGGCAGTAAAAGGTAATTACAACACACTTGTAATAATCAGATGATATTTACTATATTACTTTTTTATTTATTATTATTTTAATACGTATAATTGAAGAGTTCGCTGGTGCGATATGAATGCTTTTTCTGACAGAAAGATAATTAAATAATTACATCGAAAGTCGTTCGTATGGTTCTGCACAATTCTTATTAATTATATATACTTATTATTAATATATTAACGTTTCGCTGGTACTTTCCATTAAATGAACAGCAAAACGTGCATCAAGTCTCGTTGAGCCACCATCTTTGTCATTAATCTTTTAGGCACTATGGGCCACTATAGTGGCTTTCGCGGATGTCATCTTTCTGAACGACGCGCCACTATAGTGACTCACTCTAATAGCTCACTCGCTCGCCGTTTGAATCAAACGATCGTTTTCATACGTTTTGTTTCACATTTTTTTTTTTTTTTTTTGCCTTCACATCGATTTATAACAGTGTTGACAATATACAGACAGAATACACAGTCTTTGTTCTTGATACGCCAGTGTCAAGCGGTGTGAGCTGTTGCTTTTCATTTAAATGAATATACCATTTGCTCTTAATATACCAGATGCTCTTTTCTAAAGTATGCGTATCATATCTTTAAGAGAAATTATAATTTAATCATCAAAAAAAACTTCATTCCAATGTACTCGCGTAGAGAACAGCATTGGCTCATACATTGCAGTGCTGTATCGTTTACACGTAATTCTCATTGAACCAATTCTGCAACGGGTTAATGTTTATTATTGTTAATGTTGTTTTTCGAACGAATGCTAAAAAAGGTTTAGAATATCTGTTAAGATGTCAGGAAGAAATGATGAATTCTTGTAATCATTTTGCTCGTAATATTATCTTACGTTATAACATAAGGTAATATTAATTAATTACATTCAATTAATTAAATACATCGTTGACATTTCATACTGCGCTCTATAAATACATTTGGTCCATAAAAGTGCATAAAGATGTAAATTCAAGGCAAATGTGCAGTTCATTTGTAAAATTCCTGAGTCATCGAGAAAATTTCCACGTGTAACGCAATTATCGGATTTAATTTTTACAGAACAATAATATTGTGTGTACATTGACCGAGTAAGTGATCTGACAGCATAATTTATATAAGCCACGGAATCATCGGCACTGCGTTAGATTCTGTTAGACCAATGGTAATTTCACTAATTTTTCAGGGCACAATTGAAACAGTGGTTAAGATCGTGTGCAATGCACCGGTACTACTGCAACTACTTCCCTGTAAAACTAGTGAAAACCACCGATTTGGACCCGAACAAGTCGTATTTATTTTGCAACTTCCCACATGGCATATTATGTTTAGGAGTTTATGGTGCCTTTGGTACAGATGCCGCCGGTTACAGGGAATTATTCCCGGGCATGGATATCAATGTAGTCATGTTGGATCAAAATTTCAAGATACCGTTTTTGCGTGATTACTGCCGTATCAACAGTACGTATCAACATTTGTCCAATCATCTCTCAAAAGAAATTATTCATATTAATAACTTTAAACCATATATTTAACGATTCAGTTGCTATTTATTTCATTAACACGTAAATGGAACGCGAATTGTTATTAAAAAAAACTATTCCAGGAAAACGAAATCTTTCTCTTGAATATTCCACATATTGTTAATCCTTGCATGATTCCTGTTAGCAAAATAATAAATCATCGTATCAAGCGACGATATCAACAATATCGTTTCTTCATCCATATGAAATTTCTTCAATCGTCATTCCAGTATGACAACGCACAGATCTCCCTTTCATTTTCGGCTTCTCCAGTTTCAACTACTT